GTCTAACTTTTATTGTGGAGGGAGGAAGAAAAAAAACAGGGAGCAGAGTGCATAAATTTGCCACACAACGAAACACATAAAAATACGTAAGATTGTTTTGTCTTTAAGAACATCACGAAGCATGTTCGAACACCCACTTTATACAGAGTTGGACATTCAGGCAGGAAGAAGCTGCAGGGCAGTCATTAACAAAACTCTGGAGAATGTCTGAATGACAAGGAAACAAACTGGAGTCTTTCGTGGAACATCCACAAAACTAAAACGGAAAGAAGTCCTGTATGCAAATCAAAGAGATCTCCTCTAGTTCCTCTTGCTGTTTACAGAAGTGCATTTCCTGCTAACTTTAATGTCTCAGAATGTCATTTGGCTCTAATTAACTCAGTGAGCCCCTGGCAGTTTGGCAGTTTCAGGCTTGTAGATGTCACACACGCACACATGCACACACCTACACACACACACACACACACACATACATACACTGAGTGAATTTCCTCAGAAATGCCAAGGCATGCTCACAGTAGAAAATTTTTTTAAGAATCTCTAAAACTAACGTTTTTTTTTGTTTGTTTTTTTTCACAAAAGCCAGCTCTGATGTACCTTTTGCAATTAAAGATTAACACTACTGCCTGTTAGGAAGTACAGAAGCATAAGCAAATATTATGAATTCCAGTAGTAAGGCCATAAACGCCCTACATTTCATCAGGCATCCATTCCAGATGCACATTGTTGCAGGTGTGGCCAATCAAGGCAATTAAATCCATAAACCACAGAAAGATTCTGACTCTGGCACTACGTGGCTGTTCAGCGTGGCATAGCAAATTTTGTTGACAGGGTGTTATGATGAACATGGTGCCTACAGGAGCTGAAGATGCAGCTGTTTCTCTTTGGAATTTACAGAGGCCTAAACATCAAATCATTGTTGAAAAACTACCTCATCCAAGCGCACGTCTGATTGGCTGCACGTCATATTCAGCAGACTGAGTTCTTGTTTGTTCTTGGAGAACACCACACACACTGTGATATCAGGCCAAGACAATCCAACATGTTGAATATCCTGGATTTTAGATTGGTTTGGCCCCGATGTTCTCCCAAGCAGACCAGATCACTCTCTTTAGAATATCTTAGGATTATCGTAAGAGTCCTGCCGATAATCAAGGCATATTTAAGAATGTCAGAAAGGGGAATTCGGGACCAAAAGTGGCATAAAAATCTTGCATTGTGAACTTGGTATAAAGGGTTGTGTTCATCCGACAGCCAGCCTGGGAAAAGAAACCATCTCTTTGGTACTGATTTTTTTTTTTTTAAAGCACTTTGTCGTGTTGACCTGAAGACAAAACCTTAAAGAGTTTGTGTCCAGAATGTGTAAGGTTTGCAGGGGTGTTTTCCTGAGCCTACACCTGTAAAAGTCTTGAATGGTGGGAAGTGATGCTCTTTGTAGACCTGATTGCTCATGACAGTCTGGTCTTATCCTGTTTGGTGGATGGGCCAAACCACACAGTGATGGACAAACACAAGACAGACTGAATAATGGATGACCAGCAGATCCTGTGCAGGGTTTGAACTTCCTGAGTTGCCACAGGAAGTCCAGTCTTAGCTTGGCTGTTCTTGCAAGCTCTGTCTATATATGGGGACAGTTCCATTTCTAACTAATATTCGAGCAGTAAGAATATTTTTGAAAGGTTCAGCAGTTTCTTTCCCTCTGAAATCACAGTGCCTGTTCCTCAGTGCCTTTGAGCAAGACACTAAAATGGAAAAATTAAGACTCAAAAACATTGTCATCTCTGTTGGAAGGGGGTCAGTCATTCTTATGACTCTAATGCCACTGCAATAACTTGTGTTGTCTAGGGTTGCTAATAAAATCTCGTACATGTTGCCTGTGTATCAACCAAAATAAATGTTTGCTGAAAGATTTGGATGATCTTCAAGCTTCTACTTTTAGGATAAGCTAATTGCTTTTCTGATTCTTAAACGGTTGCCAACAGCTGTGTGCACTCATCACTTGATGAATATCCTGAGGGAGTTGGGGTGGGGGTGGTGGGAGTTGTGGAGGACACTGTACACAAATCTGAAGGTCAGAAGCAAGTTACCCCTCAGCAAACCATGACAGAACATGTGCTGATTTGACATTTGAGATCACATGATGACAGTTGTGCAACTTCTACAACTGTCAGCCAACTTCAGGCTCAGACTGTTGCCTTGGTGAAAATATTTGATATATGGAGGGAACTGATTACTTTCTAACTAACCAGGATTTAACTTTGTGATCCAGGATGTCAAACTCTGCCATTTTCAGTAGCTGCGTTTACATTGACCATATAATTGCACAAAATGAAATTACAAAAATACATTTACTTAATGGAAACACGCCAATTTCTAATAAGAAGTTTTTGTGCTAGGATGAGGTGGTTTTAAGCTGAATCAAAATTAGTGTATTTTGCAAAACTGCAATGTTGATCATTGTATTGATGCAATACAAGATGCAATACAATACAACACAAGATGCAAAAACACTGTTTTTGCATCTTGCGAGTTGCGATCAACAACAACTACTGGAAAAGATGGAGAAGACAGCAGGAAGTGGTTGAAAGATGATGGTGCACTATGTTTTTTTAATGACTTATTGCATAAACAAAACTTATTCCTGTGTGATTTCAACTCTTTCTTATTTTAAGGAAATGCTGCAATTGTGATTTTTTTTTAACAGTAGCACATAATCATAATCCTCATTTGCTCCCTAAGCTGACCTTTTCTCTGTATGTTTAATTACAGGTCAAAGAGGAATTCATTTTGAAATGTTTCTGTGCAGCTAAACAAACACAGCATGTCAAACCTGAATGCATAAAGAATGTCTACGTGCAAAACTTAGTTAAAGTGACCTGTTGGTGTACTTCTTATTAAAACCTACAAGAATCCATTTAGTTGCTTATAATAATGACCTTCCACATTTCTGACATTTACATGCACTCAAAAGGCCCAGTTATGTAGGTATTCATGTAACAACAAATGTCACTGTTAAGAAGTTATTTTAAAGCTTATAGCGCTGACAGAGATGATAGCAAGTTGAGATCCCGTTGTAAAAAGCTGTAAAGTGGGTCCTCCTAACATGTTTTTTTTTTTCATTGCATAATCCCTATTTTTCAACAATGGATTTTATCATAAACATTCAAACCAATTACTGTTTATTGAGTTGCAGAAGTTCTTTAGGTGTTCTTTTTTTTTTCTTTAGTTGTGATAACCGTTTAATATGTACATGTATTCCCTTTAAAGCTGTTTATTTTTTCTGTTTTTGTTTTAAAATGACAGAAGCTTTACTAAATTACCGGGCAGTAAAGTAATTCAGTCACGGCTGCTGAATGGAGCGCTGTGTTTGCTTTGTGCGTACTAAACCACGGGTAAAGGGTGATTCAGCTGTTTCACAGCTGTGTAAACTTGGAAGATTCCACTGATGGGTTCAAAATTTACCAAAATTACAGCAACAGTCTGATTGCTGCAACCTTCTATAATCTGCAAGAGCAACTCAGGAACGGGTGCTGATAGATTGGATGAGGCAAGTGTTAGAGTGAATGGACCCTTGCTAGGTTTTTCATATAAATTGTTGTGATGATTCACCAGAAAACTCTGATGCAACTTTAATGAGGTTTTTTTTTTATATCTCATCTATTTACAGAAGGCAGAATTCCACTTCCTTGCATAAGAGGCTACTCAACATTGTATCAGGATTCTTCACTGACACAGAACTCTTTTATTCTCACAACAAATGATTTTCCAGATGTCTCAAACAATCACAAACCATATTCATATGACAAAAAACTTTGCACCATTCTTCTGCTGGCCATCTTTGTTCCTTCGTCAGTCTTTGTCTTTTTTTAGAGTAAAAAGTGGCGTATTTTCTGCTTTTCATATTACCAGGTTGTCGTGCAAAAGTCTTTGCCTCATCGTTTTTGCAGATGTTTTCACACCTACCAACTGCCAATGTTGAGCACTGTTGGTTCTTTTGTTGGCAGCCCAAAGAAGGGAGCTGGAGATGCACTGCAGTCTAGATGGCCGTATTGCTAAAACCGCAGACAGACCAGCCGCTGTACATGTCAAGTTGTTGGAATGGGATTACAAACGTGTGCGCGTGTGCGTGTGTGTGTATGTTGTTTCAGGTGTGTAGAGTTGCTTGAAGATATTACAATGCACAGGCAGACAGAAGATTACATGAATTAAAACATGGTTCACCTGGAATTCCATAAAGGTGTTTTCTCATAAACCCGCTGGCATATGGTTAGTATAAGGGCACACACAGCTAATGACCAGTGAATGCCATTTCTAAAACTGTTTGTATTTTGTCTTCATGTAATGTTCTGGAATACTGGAACCTTGTGGGTGTAATGAGCCCAGACCTCTCATTCTGAAGTGATCAAGAAAACTGTTCTTTCAGTGGTTGTTGGGCCATCTGACCTCAGAAATGGTAATAATTTTTTTTCTTCTGCTTCTTATTTATCCATTGTGTGCCTGGCACTTTACTTGAAACTTGGAGATGGGTTGATGTTGCACCCAAGTTAATGGCGAACCTATTAACATAGCCAAAGAAGTCATGATTTCACCAGCAATACCTAAGTAGATGTTTGCAATACCGCCTATAAATATTGCAAGCTTTATTTTCCATAAGCAAACACCATTTTTTTAGTTGTTCAGTTTAGATTTGGAGGCGCTACATGTAACATTGAAGTTGGCCTTACAACTGGGGGTAGTCGGAGTTTCTCCCGCTTTCCAAGTGGGAAGTCTAAAATCGGGGAAATTCCAGTTGATTTTTCAGTGGGAAGTCGATATTCCTGAGTTCTGACAACAGATGTAAAGAAATCACTATTGAGTATATATTGACACAGTCTGCACACCAACTGGAGTAATGTATGTCTGTATGACAACATAATGGATGACAGTATTTGGGTTATTAAACACCTCAGATTCCTGATTCAGTATGAAAATTCAAATCAAATCATTAATTCAAGTGTATGCATTTTTTCTTAAATAGGAGAGGCGAAATCCATGGAAGAAAAGTGGAAAGTGAAATTTTTACTGAGCCTAAGTTTGACATAATGTAATCAATGTAGCTGACTGGAATCTTTCATGAGAGACTTTAGCGAAGGCGTGGTTTGTATTTATACAACCTGTACCTCTCACAATAGGCACATCAGGCTGTGTAAAAATATTTCTCTTTGTACAAGTGCAGCGCTAGCAATACTGGTTTAGTGTGCATGTGTTCTGAACGCTGACAAATGATAATAAATAATGTATTAACATCGTCTGGATGGCACTTACTCTTCAGGATGATCACATATACAATAGAAACATTGAAATCTGCCTGTGTTACAGGAATCAGTCCTCAGTGGAAAGTTAGATGAACAGCAACAAGCATTATGGGAAAAATTTTGATAAACATCCATCATTGCTGTTAATATTTTTCCACATGCTGCTATTTGCATAAACTCGTAATTGCAACAGAAAATATCATGGTCACTTTGTGATAAATGAAACAAAACACATTACTCTGTCATGCTCCTGAACATCGTACCTTTCTGTTTCCCTTTCTTTCTTCATATTTTGACATTTCTTTTTCTCATTGTTCCATTTTTGCAGACTACTGATCTTTTGAAGGTGGGTTTGAGCCCAACTATGGGGATTTGAAAGAAACCGCATGGAATATCTTCTGCCCCAAAGGCCCAAGATGAAAGCAGCTGAATATGGTGACATTTTCTGTTTTTTCAGATGACTGATCCTCACAAGAGGAGATAAGTGAAGCAAATGAAACCTGTACTTCAAAGTTAGAGTAAGCGAACAGTAGTTTGGTATGCAAAGGAGCTGGCTGCGAATAACATTCATTACCCCAAGCAGCATGCCAAGCCCTTAATTCATATTGTAGACAACTCCTTCACTGGCTTTTCTTTTTGCTACTTGTTTATTAATCTGCTTTTGTATAAAAACAATGGACAATTTTCTTAAGGATACAATACAGTGGGCACCTGGTATTTGTGGTTGTTAGGGACGACAACCTCCCACAAATAACTAAGTTCTACCAATACTTGAACCCCCTCTAAAAACGCTTTTATTTTATATGCCTTAAGTGTAAAATACAGATTGAATCCTGGATAAAAACCTCAACCTAGGAAATGTTGAATAAGTTTTATTGACAGAAATCTGAATGTACAAGCCGGACAGAAGCTGCGTTTTCAGAACTGACAGTTTGATGAGTGACTGGCAGAGCAAACAGGAAGTGCTGTATAATCAGGAAATGAAGAATTATATGACAGAGGTGCTTTTCCTTAGATCGGACCTTGATTATTTTGAGTCTTCGTAGAAACTGAAGATGAAAGGGAATTGTAGAAACAGGAGTTAATGTACAGTGGCACAGGTGAACACAAACAGAGCAGTGGAGCAGCATAAGACTAAGCAGGAACAGGAAAAACCATGGCATTAATATGTACAAATACGCAGAGCGGAAACTGCCTTAGTGCTAGGGCTGTAGTGATACAATAATCATACGATACGATACACGATATTCTGCTCATGATACAATATATATTGCGATATTCAGCAAACGATACAATTCAATACTTTTGCGATTTTCTTAAAGATTTTAGAGGGACAGAGTGATTTTGGTGACATGTTGTGACTGTTATAGACTTGGATTGAATTAATTTAACTGAAAACTGATTAAAAGCACCAACTACACAATACCTGCACCAACTACACAATACCTGGCTCTGGTTGGACATGGACACAGACTTAAAGTTGATAGCTGGACAAAATGAATCAAAGAAGTGGTGAGAAAACATGTTTCTTTTAATTGAATCAATACAAACTGTAGTTTACATGCATTTGTAAAGTAAATAAAGTGCACCAACTACCATGCTCTGAATAGTTTGATACCTTTTTAACCTTGACACTTAACATCTGAAGGAATCACTAAACCTGGTGACCTAGTCACTCTCCCGGCGAAGCAAGCAGTGAGTGAGCAAGGTGACATGGATGTTACGATACTTGCGGATGAATATCGATTTTTTTCTAGGAAAGAAAATATCGATATATATCCCAAAATCGATATTATTACACAGCCCTACTTAGCGCCACTGCAGAAGCAAACATCCAAGATTGGCTGCTTTGCAAACAGCAGCCAATATCATGTCATTTATTATTGGACCTAGATATTTTAGCTTCCCCAGCTGTATTTGAAAAAAATATTTTAGATATTTCGTAGATATCAGTTACGCTATGGAAAACATCAGCAAATGGGCACATTTTTTGTGAATAATTTGGAGTTACGTTCAGCAGAACTGGACTGTTCACTGCATTCACATTCAGATCGAGTAAAAGGTTAGAACTTTTAAGATCCATGATTTGTTATAACAATAGACTTTATTTGATAAACCTTCATTTTAATGTAAAAGCAATATAGGAAAGTGTAGGCTGTTTAGTTTTTATATATTTAAATAAAATATTGTCACCATTTAGATATGACAATATTTGCCATGCAAATATGCATTGCCATGTTTGTTACATGGCAATGCATATTTGCATCCTGGACAATGCATCATGGATAGATGGCATATGCCACATGCTACAGCACTAGCTCCAGTCAGCCAGAAGTCATTTTTGCACAATAATTAACATTCAGCCCTTTGAATTTGAAGCAGAGCATGTTTAAATAGAAGCAATGCAGAAATGACAAGGGGAAATGAAATTGAGGAGGCACAAACAGCAGAAGAAGAGAGACTTAAAGAGACAGAAAGATAAAAGAAAACACTGGTGAACTTCTTAATTCAAAAGACCCATACTGCACCCAGTTGAAACTGAGTTGTCTCTGTCCAAACCATTGTATGGGCCTGACTGTATATCAATCTCTACATAATGTAATCTTTTAATGACATTATCAGTCAAAGCATCTTTGCCTCCATTTTCTTTCCTGGTCTTATCAACCACCCCATGTGTTTCACGTTGTGGGGATCCTGTGTGCCTCATGACCAAAGCAGAGTGAAGAGAAGTTATTTTGCTTCTTCTGTCTGCTTCCCCACTTTTTTTCCCACTCTCACCAATTTGTTCTGCTTTATCAAAATCACTTCTACTTTCAGCTCTCTAGGAGTTAGCAGGCTCACTGCCAAAAGGGGCCAGGACCTCCAGAAATCAGTGCTGGAATATGAACACAAGACCCAGCTTAGACTTTAAAAGCATTGTTTTACAGTGCGGTGATATCACTTGCCTGCTGCTGTATGATCTGATAACTTACAAGGTGTTATTCATTAACCAGCCTCTTGGCTTTAGAGCAGAAATCATTGGCCACATTGAGCTCATGTTTCACTTTATCCTGCCTGCAATAACATACTTTTGGATTATTCCTTCCAGAAGCATTCATACCCCCAAATCTTTTCATATGTTACAATAACAAACATCATTAGGATTTTATGCAAGAGACCAGCATAAAGCTGAGCATAAATATAAAGCAGGAAATTATCCTGCATTAACTGGTTATTTTTTGCTGTAAAATGTTCAATAATCATCATTTGTGCTAGAGTTACTTGAAGAAGCAGAAAATGTATTTTTTTTTATTTAAAATAAAAAAAAAATACAAAAAGTGCTTAAAGTATTTAAAATTATAATTTATTTATGGACTTCTCCTATTTTGTGTGGGTTTTTAAAATGTCTTTTTCTATAGTTTTGACTTGAATGCATCTAAATGCATACATATGTGTCTGCATATTGCATGCATGTCATGATTGATGTCATGAAGTCATGATTAATTTTAGTCAACTGTTGACCAAAATCCAGATAAATTCAGAAGTTGTTTTTTTTTTATTGTGGCAAATATTCTGTTTCAATTAATTATGGAGGCAGAAGAGTGCCAAATTACAAAAAACTAAACTCAAGAAATAATTATTTTAATGTGTAATTAATTACATAAAATTATAAATGTGTCCATTAAATCAAGACATTTATCTTAAAATAATTTAACTTAACTTATTTTAACTTATTAAATACATCAGTATTTAAATACTGGTGTATCTAAGTACATCAGTATTTAAATAAGTACATTAAATTTATCCTTAAGTATTAAGTAATTCCTTTAATGCATAACTAAATATTAACCTGTTTGAAAATATTTCAGTCACACGGCAAATGAATAAATTACTTCAGTATTTAATTACCATGGCTTCTGTTATAGTGTAACTAATTAATACTAATTAATTACACCTTTAAATAATTAGATGTGTTTTGTTTTAATCAGATCTTCCCCCTATTTACAACCAAACCGTGGTTTAAACTTTTACAAAACTTTATTGTTGACTTAGTTATTTAATCCTTCAGGTTCTGTTTGTTCAATTATTCTCCCTAGTCAACCTCAGAGATCTAAAAAAAAAACAGCTGGATTAAATATTATCATGCTAAAGTTAAATTACACACAGGTGGATTCCGTTAACAAATCAAATGACTGCTGCAAATAATTGTTTATGCCTTATTTTTCTCTCTAACTTTTCTTTGATGTTTGTGGCTTTAGCATGAAAAAAAAGGGGAAAGTTGAAGAGGTTTTGATACTTTTGGAAGGTATCGGCTTGTGCAGCAGTGTGATGTTATTACAGTAGATTGTAAAACAGAAAGTTTATTGTGATAGGAAACTATATGGACACTGGCAGCTTTTATTTTGAAAGGATGACAGATCCACTGCTAAATTCCAGTGGGTACATTTTATTTACATTTAATGACTGCAGTTGTGAATTATTATCTTTGCTGTTGAGCATTTTAAGCTCATCGATTGTGATTTTGAGTGAATTGTTTTCCCACTACCAGACAGTCTCTTTTCTTTTGGATACCGTGGAAAAAGGTTCTTTTTTTTTTTTTTTTTTTTGCAATGCTAGTTAAGCTTTGTTAAAAAGTGGTAGGAGTGCATTACTACATAAAACCTTGCTAATAAAGTTGATATTTCAATGTGCTGAAAATAAAGCTGTTGATGGTTAATCAGGCACCATGGATCATATTAATGACAAAAGGCCTGTTTCCGACTATTTTTAAATCAGTAGCATCACAATTGCCTTCAAATTAGCTGCTGTCTGCCTGTTTTTCCCACAGGACTAAATGCAGAATCAACTCTGTTACACTTGTAGTAAACAATACACATGCACACAAAAATACAAATCCCAAAATGCTTTGGAACAGAACAATTAATGAATGCATTAATTGGAATTGAGGAAAATCGTCTGACAGGGAAAAATATAAAAAAAAAAATAAAAAAAATTCTTCATTTTAACTTGCACATTTTCTGAAAATAAAACATTTTTTCTGACTTACAACTGGGATGGCATGAACCACCTGAAAAATATGGCGTAAATATTATCTTAGCTGAAAAAAATAAGCTAATTAACAGCAAAAGCATCACACAATATGTGCTGATTTTGCCTTTTAAGTTCCAAGCTGCTGTATTATTTATGAAAGCTAAATCCTTTTGCTGCTTCAAAAGACCAGAAACACTGACAGAATTCATTGTTGAGTGTTCAAGACTTTCCATGCAAAGCTCTTACAAAGCAGCTGTCAATAACTTAAGTTTTAAAGCCGTGCTTCTCCGAATGTTTAATGTTAAAGTGCCTCAGACATATAAAGACTGTTATGCTGCAAGAGTTGGCTGAAATTATTTATTCATTCATTTATTTGACAATTTGACTATGCATTTGATGTTAGGCACAGTTGGAAGCCATTCTACCCACTGTGATTAAAAACTTGCACCAGCTGCTGTGGCAGAACACAAACTTTAAATTGAAGTCTTTACAACCTACAGCTGCCGGG